GTATCAAAACAGAGTAGTTCAGAGACAGTTTTAACACCAAGTCTCTGTCACTGTGTCTCCATGACTGAAGACCAAGGGAGGCTTAAAAAGACTTCAGGGGCAGCTGATTGATGATTAGTGACAGCTGCTCCTCATCACTCTGCTGGTCTTCTAGGTCTTGAGGCCTGCAGCAGGGTGTCACCAGGTGTACAGCAGGGCAGAAACCTCTGGGTTCGTCACAATCAGTCGGGTAATTAATTAATAAAAAAGTTTATTTGAAGGTTTTGAACCTAAAACAGAGATCTGAACAAAAGGTGAGACGTTTCTAAAAAGCCTGAACTAAACCTAATTGTAATAACCATAGGCGTCATTTTAACCGGGGACGCCGGGGACATGTCCCCGGCAAAATTTGTGATTGGCAGCTGTGTCCCCGTCACTTTCAAAAAAGCCTGCTGATGAGGATTTTTGTTTTACCAGCTCAGATCTTATACCAGGGGTCGGTAACCTGTTCCCATCAAAGAGCCATTATTACCCGTTTCCCACAGTAAAGAAAACACCGCAGCAGCCGCGGCGTTGCGGGCGGGGCCTACCCTCAGACAGCAGAGAGCTGCTCACAACAGATGACAGCAGCCGGTACAGGTCGCTCGCATGGGCGTCGCACCCGTGGGGGATTCAACACCCACACTTTTCCAGCTGTTTTGCTCACCTCCACACCAGTCTGGTTTCTTTACGTCGCACTCACTCTGTTTGCCTCATCTCCTTCTTCACCTCCCGCTTCTGACAGCTGATGTCGGGTTTCCAGGAGAGCAGGAGAGGGAGGGACGGAAGAGCTCGACTGAATAATTTTACATCTTGACATTAGCTGTACAAAGTCTGAGTTTGATAAAGTGAAGAACAACAATTTGCAGAGGTTTATAACAGGCGCGGCGCCAGGTTTTCATTTTTGGGTGGGCCACGGTAATTTTGGACGGACCTTAATAAGCAGTGACTTAAGTGAAGCAGGCAGGTCGCGCTAGAAAATTTAGTTTAAAAAGACGTCATGAATGTGTTCCCCCGTCATTTTTATTTCTAAAATATGAAGTAAAACTCCCAGTTTAATTTTCATTCATTTGTCATTAATATGTAGTCTACACCCGTGCGTTAAGTGGACCAACTTCCAGTAAACGCAAAGCATCCAGCCCATCTCTCCAAATGCGTAAAATGTGCATCAGCCGCTAGTTAGGCGCGCCGCGCGCACCGTCAGCTACGTCAGCCCAGACAAGAGCAGAGCAACTAGAGAAAGAATAGAGGATAATTCTGTCCGGATGTGGATGGAGATTACATTTTACAGCAGCCTGATCATCATTTAAACACGTAAACCATCACCTGTCTTCTAGTCCATGCTATCAACATTATTTTAATTGGTGTGTGTGTGTGTGTGTGTGTGTGTTTTCCACATCAAACACTGGTCTAACCAACCAGACCAGCGTGTCCAGTAACACATTAATGTTACAATTAAACAGTTTCACTTCATGTAGGCTAGGAACGTTTCACCTGCCGTGGCCCGACCGCTTCTGCTCCACATAAACTTTGTGCGTGATCAAATGTCTCTACAGGTGCTTTCTGAGCTGAAGAGGCTATTCTGCCTCAGACTGGATGCGTCATGCGTCTCCATATTAGAGACGGGAACAAGCGCTGTTCAGCCAAAGTTTCATAATTTCACAAAAAGAACATTTTTCCAAGTGACACATCCCTCAGAGAGACCGGCTTTCCAGACCGCTTCAGTGGGAGGAAATCTTACCGCATGCACCGTGGTTCTGCACTGCGCTGCGAACCCCTCTACAGATCTTCAGCCCACTGTCCACCGGCGCTCCGAGCCGCGCTGAACACAGTGTCCAGTATAAAGCTCTGATGTTCTGATGGGAATCATTTTTTGATTGATTTTAGTTACCTCTGCGATGTGTGTAAGGATTTAAATGTCAGCTCATCCATGCGCATCAGTACGCGTCGGGGTAATTCTTTCAAAACAACCAACATCCTTGAGTTTATCTGTCAAAATAAACAGTCAAATGGAAGTATCTGTAACCTGCCATTTAACTGTTTTGCCTTCTTGTGAAGATTGTTGCAAAGAGAAACAATTAAACTTGATTAAGCCCAGAGCCATGCGCACTGCGCTGTACGTCGTGACTGTAAATGAGGGGGAAACGATTTAATCGGGTCCTTTTCTTTTCAACATGGTTTAATGTAAAGTTTCATTCAGTACAAACTTTAGTTACACCAATCTAACGAGACAGAGCCTGGATTTGTATTCTGAACAGTTTAAACATGTTTAAACGGAGACATGCGTGACACGTCTAAAATTCGCATCTGCTCCGCTATTATGGAAATTAAACTAACAAGATGAATAACATGAACTTATTTTAGGCACATACAACATCCCCCACACTTTTGAAAAGCTTGCAACGCGCCCGGTCGCTCGTGTACATCAAAGTTATCTTTCATAAGAAGATAATCAATAAAACGATTAATATAAAGTGGATCCAGAAGTTGTAGCCCCTCTCTGCCAACAATATTTCGATATTTTTCACCCTGTTGGTGGTTTTACTGAGCAGGTGCCACTTTTGTCATACGTTTCTTTTTAAAACATGTTTAGACCGTTCAGAATACAAATCCAGGCTCTGTCACGTTTGATTGTTGTAATTAAACCTTGTAGGTGGGGAAGGTCAGAAAGCAGCTCAGAACACGCATATGATTACGCACAAGCGTGACACGTCAACCCGGTCTCACAGTAAAACCGGGTTGGAACTGTTCAGGTTTACGCAGACAATCTTTACATTTAGAATTGGCATACAGATGTAAAATTAATGCAGTAAAATATAAAGCATTTTATTTAAATATCCATTCATTATTTTACAAGCACAGAGAGCCGCATCAGATGGATGGAAGAGCCGCATGCGGCTCCAGGGCCGCGGGTTGCCGACCCCTGTGCTAGCCTACTTTATTGTCCCCAGCGATTTTTAAACCCCACTCAAGTGTATGGTTATTGTCCCCAGCAATTCTGAAAACAAACTGACGCCCTTGGGCTCGGGTCACACAGACAGATAGAACCAAGCGTCTTAAAAATATCTCTGAAGGTGTTTTGAGTCAGCTTAGTACTGCAGGAAAACTATCTGGTTGTTCAGCTTCGCAGGTGCGGAAAGTTTTAAGGTTTTGACGTGTCAAAAATCCTTATGGTCAAAGAGGTGCTAAAGATGGCCAGTCTAAAGCTTCTCTTCAACTGTCGAACTGTTGGATGTTCGAACTGAAGAGGAAGCAGAGCGGGCTGGTTTTTATGGCTGATGTTATCTCTTTGAGAATGTTACCAAGAATCTCAGACACCCACGCCTACTTGATACAGAGGCTCTGAATGTAGGTAAAAGGTTACTTGTGTCATGCGTCACTTATCTTAACCTTACTCTGTCTGGTATGAGCGAGTCTGGTGTGGTGTCTGTGTGGTGATGACCTCATCCAGTAAACATACTAAAACAACCATTGGATACAGATTCATGAACATTCTATTGCAATCATTATTTTACTTATACAATCTTCTTTTCTTCTGGGAATAAAGAGTTCATCTAAAAGTTATGTGCAGAACCTTGGAGGAAAGAATGCTACTGTTCATCTTTTATTATCTGTTGAAGGCTCTGATTAAAGAGACTACGTGCAGACTTCAGACAAGGGAAAGTACAGTAGTACGTGTCAAAGCCAGGGTAAGATGACCTCCCTGTGTATCTGACACGTGGAATCTCAAAATCAGGTCATTTGGTGACGTTACACAGACGAAATAACTAAACTCTCTCTGAAGCAGACAAATACGCTGTTCTAAAAGGTACCAGAAAGAAGGCTGCTCTAAAAGCTGTAATGGTGAGGATTAGCTACATTTATTAAATGACCAATAGGCTGTGATATTCCATTTAAATATGAATCATCATTCTGATTGGTGAATAAAGCTCATCTTTCTTGTCCTTAATGACCTTTTTTTTAATATATTTTTCCTGTAATGATTAATTTCAGATCTTAAAATACACCAGATCAGTACTTGTTGATTCTTGTAATTTGGTCTATCAATATGAACACAATAATATATTATTATTAATGTTTAACATTTTCACTTCACACTGGGAGTTAACCTCGAAGTATCTGAGTGAGGGAGTGATTCTGTGAGGGCTTTGGTAACACCTTTAAACTCGTCAAAGTCTGATTTGTCTAAATTTATCAACAATAAAGTTGATATATACAGGAATCACGTCGTGATCTAGTCAGTTCTCCAGCTGCCTCCTGGTTTGGCCGACCGGTGAGCAAGCATTCGGAACCATCCTCTCTTTTGACCCCAAGGTCAAATTCTCTCTGCAACGCTTGCGAGTGATATCAGACGCTACAACACCTCAGACGTGGAACGTCTAACCTGCAGACCCTGGTTGCATCTCATGGCCTGACTGGGATTCCTGTGGCCACGACGTCCGGCGAACTCACCACTCTGGCTGCCTTTCCTCTGGACCGCCGTTGAGCAACAGTCACACAAGGGTTCGTAGACTCTGCACGATTGTGTCGGATGGTTTTATGAATAATCTCTAGCTTATTAAACCATACAGTCACACTGATTTTACAACCCAGACATCACAAGATTTCTCAGATACTTACAAGGTTTTGATGTAAACATCTAGCTTACATTACATCATTTTATTCATTATCTGTTATCTGTACAACCATCAGAACAGACAAAGCTCCTCGCATGAGAAGCAAAAATGTCTTAAAGAAGCCAAAGAAGTTCAGTTGCCTTCATTCGAACCTCTTTGGATTACCATGATCTGGATGACCGAGAACCATCACAGCATATTTGGTAATGCAGTTGTGGAATCAATTCACCTAAAATAATCATGATAATTGTGAAACTGTGATTATTTCTCAGACTATAATCATACTACAAAAATTTATAATCATGGAAATGACCACTCTTGATTTCAGCAGTTCATGAAGCAACAAGCAAGGAGAATGAAGGCATGTACGCAAAATGGTTTGTGTTTATTTTTCTGTTCCGTTTTCCTCAGTCAAGGAAATTTCACAGGTAATGAATTTTACTAATTAGGTAACTGCAGATCTGCACGTGACTTTTAGGTTAAAAGTTTCTGGATGATGGACACTGCTGCTGGCCTATCTGAACTAAGGAGATTCTAGAAAAACAACATTTTGTGGTCAATGGAAACCCACCTATCCACTATAACAGCAGCTAATTGCTGCATACTAGGTTTTGCAATGCTTCTGAATCTAGTGGAAAAGCCGAGAAATAATTAGTGACATCAACAATTCTGCATCACCTCTTGATGCAAACAGGGATTTAGTAAAACATTTTCCACTTCCAGGGGCCACAATATGTAGATCACAGAGCAGAAAGAAGTGGGCCAGAGATGTGGCCCTGATCTACACTAAAGGACATCTAGGGGTACCAGACTGACATCTAGGATGTATAATCTACAATGGTCCCTTTCGGTTAACTAGTTAGTTACTAGTAGGTAAATTAGTTCTTTGTGTTCTCTGTGGATTCTCATATGTTTCTTTAAATGTTTTTTTGTTTTGTTTTTAATCTTTGTCAAAAGAGTTTCCTGGCAAAAGGCTTATTTCCTATGTGGACTCTAAAATGTTTAGACATGTCTTATGGTTGCAATTTTGTTCAAAGAGCTCACAAGCAAAAAGGCTTTTGTCCTGTGTGGACTATTGTGTGCCGGTTTAAATTTGTCTTTCGATTAAATCTTTGTCCACTGAGTTCCAAAAAAAAGATTCTGTCTTGTGTGGACTCTCACGTGTCTGTTTAAACTCGTCTTTTGAGTAAGTCTTTGTCCACTGAATTTACAGGGAAAAGGTTTCTGTCCTGTGTGAACTCTCATGTGAATGTTTAAATGGGTCTTTTGAGTAAATCTTTGTTCACAGAGATTCACAGGCAAAAGGATTCTATCGTGTGTGGACGCTCATGTGTCCATTTAAAGTTTTCTTACAAGTAAATCTATGTCCACAAAGCTCACGGGTAAAAGGTTTCTGTCCTGTGTGGACTCTAAAAGATTTAAACATGTCTTATGGTAGCATCTTTGTTCAAAGAGCTCACAAGCAAAAAGGCCCAACCAGCCATTCCTCCCCATCCCCGCATATTTCTCTCCTCCTGCTCCCTCACATCATCACACAAACATACACATAGGACCTTGGGGGGTAGGCAAGTCAGGGAGTGCGGGTATGGACCCCATTTCCGCATTCCTGAGGAAACCTGCCCCCCAATTTTATTTGCACCTTATACACTTCCACTGACGACATTCCACACAAACAGACACTTAGGGCCTTGGGAGTGAGCACATTCAACGGCATTTGGCAGGGGGATATTTCAGCCTCCTCCCGAGTGCCGGTGCCCACTTCCAATTTTAAACCGCACTTAGACACTGATGGCTGAAGGGGTAAGTGGGGTGGTGCAGTGGCATCCGCTGGCATATGCTGGACGATGCCTGCACTGCCCACTCGCCACAGCCATGGAATACACCTCATGATCACACAACACTATATTGGAGCAGGCGGAGGGAGACTAGGGGTCTTAGCCACCTCTGTTGTTGCTAGGCTTCCTGGGGCTGGAGGCTAGGAGGGAGATCTGGCCGTCTGGTTGGGGTCTGGGGTGGTGGGTTGCTGTGCTCAGCGTTGGGCGGGGGAGCCTGCTCATCAGCACCCCAGCAGAAAGGGTCAAACTCTGGTTACCGGTGATGGTTGTACCCAATGTGCAGCAGTACCGGGACCAGAGTGAATAGGGTGTGTATGGGGAGCATGAGTGGGTGTCCGGCGTGCATTTTTGTAAGTCTTGGGTTGTATGTGCATGTGTGAGCATGAGGGAGGGAGCGTGTGACTGTGTTTGTGTATGACTGTATATGTCAGGTGGGGCCTTTGGGTCCTCCCCTCTCCTGGAACTTCTCTTGATGATATAGATCTCTGTCCCCCCTCCCCCTGCTACACCTGGTGTGGGGGCTTGTGCCTTGGTCTGCCTGAGTGTTCGTGGCAACCGGGTCTGAGGGTTTAAGATTTTGGCATATGCCTGTTAGATCCCGGTGGCTGCCTGGTGGGGTCTGGGTCCCTGGGGCTCTGCTGGGTCCCCGGCGGGGGTGGTCGCCCCTGGGTCCCGGGTCGCTGGGTCCCGGGCTCGGCCGGCTAGGGGGTGGGAGGCTGCGGGCGGGCCTGTGGGCTTGCCGCTGATGTCTCCAGGGACTCTGCCGGCTGCTGGTTGTGGCCCCCCGGGACGATCCTCTGTGCCTCTCGAGGGGGGCGGGGGCCTTCCTGGTTGCAGTCTCCTTGGGGTTCCTGCGTTCTGGGCAGCGCCTGGATCTCTGGGACTTGGAGCTCCCCCCGTCTCCTGCGCATCTTTGGGGGGCGGATCTGTGGTCCCTCACACTCTCTGTTGGGCGCTCCTATAGAAAAACCTTAAATAAACAAGCGCGTGTACACACACAGGTGCTCACATGGTGCTCTCAAAAGTATGGGCTTGGGCACGTTAAACACAGGTCTTAAGACTATGGTGGGCACTTAATGCGTTGTGATTTATTATTGTGATTCTTCAGTTAAGCAATGTTGATTATATATATATAATTCTTATTTTCATCAAGTTGACGCAGTGATAGGTAGATCTTGTTGTATTGTTGTTGTGTCCCTTTTTTGTGTCCCTTTGTTGTTTTTTTTAATCTCTTTTTCTGCAGGTCTAGAAGCAGACTCTTGTTCATTTTTGTTTATTTTTGTGGAACCCCCCCCCCCCCCCCCCCCTCTCTCTCTCCCCACCTTTTCTTTTCCTTTCTCTTTCACCTCTGTCTCCGTGTCTGGTCGGAATTACAAAGCATTCAACAACAATAACAATAAAGTTTTAAGTATCAGGCGTGACATTAAAAGCAAACGCTTTGATGCTCCACCTGAGAATAAATCTGTAAGGCTTGTCACCAGCATTCAGACATCAATTCTGCTTGCTTCACAGCCAGACAGGACACGGTAAAAAAAAAAAAAAAAAAAAAAAAAAAAAAAAAAAGGCTTTTGTCCTGTGCGGACTCTTGTGTGCCGGTTCAAATTTGTCTTTCGATTAAATCTTTGTCTACTGAGTTCAAACAAAAAGATTCTGTCCTGTGTGGACACTCGTGTTTTTCTAAAATTTGCTTTGCAGTAAATCTTCCTCCACAGAGTTCACAGGCAAATAGTTTCTGTCTTGTGTGGACTCTCAAGTGTCTGTTTAAAGTTGTCTTTTGAGTAAATCTTTGTCCACAGAGTGTACAGGGAAAAGGTTTCTGTCCTGTGTGGACGCTCATATGTCTGTTTAAATTTTGCTTTTCAGTAAATCTTCGTCCACAGAGTTCACAGGCAAACGGTTGCTGTCCTGTGTGGACTCTCATGTGAATGTTTAAACGTGCCTTTCGATCACATTTTTGTCCACAGAGTTTACAGACAAACGGTTTTTGTCCTGTGTGGACTTTCATGTGAGTGTTTAAATGTGTCTTTAGATTAAATCTTTGTCCACAGAGTTCACAGGCAAACGGTTGCTGTCCTGTGTGGACTCGCATGTGAATGTTTAAATGGGTCTTTTGAATAAAACTTTGTTCACAGAGCTCACAGGCAAAAGGTTTCTGCCCTGTGTGGACGCTCATGTGTCTGTTTAAATTTGTCTTTTGTCTAAATCTTTGTTCACAGAGCTCACAGGGAAATGGTTTCTGCCCTGTGTGGACGCTCATGTGTCTGTTTAAATTTTTCTTTTGTCTAAATCTTTGTCCACAGACTTCACATGTAAAAGGCATCTGTCCTGTGTGGATGCTCATGTGTCCATTTAAAGTTTTCTTACTAGTAAATCTATGTCCACAATGCTCACAGCTAAAAGGTTTCTGTCCTGTGTGGAATCTCACATGAATGTTTAGATTTCTTTTATAACTAAATATTTTTCCACAGTCGTCACAACTAAATAATTTTGGTTGTTTTTTAACTTTCCTGCACGAGTCTACATGTGTCTTCACTTCAACACATTTCATATTAACCAAACAGCCTGAAGACCTTATTGCTGAATGACCTTTCACTCTCATGTGTTTCTGGAGAGACCACTTGTGGAGAAATCGTTTACCACACTCAAGGCAGCTAAAGGATTTGTTGACAGAATTAACGCCTGACTCATTCCTGTCATTGTCTTTGTCTCCAGTTTCAGACCCAGAGTCTGATAGCTCAGATCCTGGATTCACGTCATCATACTCTTTTTCATCATCTCCACTAACTTCAGTCTCTGATGTATCAGTCTGTTCACATGGGTTCAGATATGAGTTCCTGCTAGTTTCTGCTGTCATCTGGTCAGCTAAGCTGCTGGTTGGGACATTTCTGTCATCTATTTGTTGCTGATGAAGCTGTGAGAACAGAGGTTTCTCTTCATCATCTTCACTCTTTATAGAAACTGCAGTTATTGGAAACCTGACACCATTGGTCTCCTCCTTCAAATGAAGCTGCTCTCCCTCCAGACTGGTCCAGAGTTCCTCCTGTTCCTCCTTTATGTGGAGGTGTTCTGGGTCCTGTTGGTCCACACCAGCACTCTTCTCTTCAGGAGCTTCTTCTTTAACCAGAACCACCTGTTGAACATCTGTAGGAAACACGCGATGAGAATAACTGACTGGTGTAATTTTATATTCACACAGTTACCAGTTATTTTATTCCTCATGGGTTGGTGAGATCAGAACTGACTCAAAAAACAAGAAATTATTGTGGGGTGAATACACAGATATTTAAATTATGTGGGATTAACCAGATTTTTCTAACACACACACACACACACACACACACTAGATTTGGGAAATTGGACAAATTATTCGCCCATCGATGACAGGCTGAGCCTTTCGATGGTGATTTTCAAATGGACGATTTGTTTATTTATTTGCCCATTATTAAAATGGTTAATGATTCATGCGGGTGCCCAGATGTTTTAAACGTTACACACAGAGAACATCGTTGAGGTAACATATTCAGTCAAGAAAAGATTCCCATCAGAGCGTCTACACATTATCGCACACTTGTACATTCTCCGTGTCTCGCTGATGACAGTGCGCACAAGGAGTGCTTCTGTGGCAAACCAGTGCAGAAGAGTGCAATGTCAAGTGTTTCCAGATCTGGAAAGTGGAAACCATTCTTTCAGAGTCTTGTTAACATCTGGCCGTTTCATTTGGAGAAATGCTTCCTGACTACGAAAGTAGCTTTTGTTATTCAGTCTGTAGTATTCAGTCTGGCCGGCAAATATATTGAAAATGAAAGTTAAAAATGGCCAGTAAGTTTGACTTTTGTAAACAGAACCAGCTGAGATGTTAAACTGAAGCAGGGCTCCAGAGACTGCACAGGGACTGTGGAGGACAGACACCTTTAGGAGCAGCTTGTTAAAAAAAACTTCATGAGAGCAGCTTCGATCGCAATAAAACGTAAGTTACGTGCAAGATAAATAGAAGTGCGTGGCAATGCAGAGACCGCCCTCATACCCCCTTCATGCCCCCACCACGTAATGTTTTGCAAAAAGGAGACGGTTGTGTAACATTACCGCCATGGTCTGACCATTTATAAACAACCTAAAGCTCCCTGATGCCGCAATGCTGTTGTGGCAAATTTGGCATTATTTTGTAAACATGGCTCTTAAGACTCTCATGTGTCTATCCAGTGCAAAAGTCCATAACCTCATGATTATGGACCCCTTGAATGTTATTATTTACATCCGGGTAATCTTACGCACAGCGATGGGGGCAAGAACACCATCTCCAGCTATTATCCAGAGCTGTATCTCGACAATTTAAGCTAACAAAAATAAATAAATAACGTATGGATCACCTATGTTCACACAGGGGGGTGGGCTTCCTGCATGCGCGATTCATTTTCATGCTGGATGCTGTTAATTAAACTTTTGTCTGTAGCACGGAGCTGCCGATCAGTTAGGGCTGGGCGATATGGCACAAATAGAATATCACGATTTTTCCAATATTTTATCACGATTTCGATTTTATCAAGATTTTTTATCCATGAATAGCATAACTTCAACTGCGTTTTAAAGAAGAGAAACATTGAATAAACAAACATTTATTCATATTAGGGATAATCAGCAGAGTGCTAACACACTTATATTTTAAACTCACACCAGAGATGATAAAAGCCCTGAGAGAAACAATTACAAAAATCTGTTTTTCTCGTTTTTCAAGTAATTTAACATAAATTAATATCGTAAACATGTTTAAAGTGCAAACATGTCAATTGCAAACGTATTGTGCAAACATTAACTTGTTCAAAATACTATGTAGCTCCCAGTTGCTCATGTAGTGGATAGTTAAGCTCAAATACGGCTCTGATGTGCGGCTGGACCAGAGATCGCTTGTGGTAGCAAAAAACTGCGCATTCTGAATATTTTCTGCAACTCTCACTTTGCATTCAGCGTACATGCATGGAATGGCGGTGTTCGAAAAATACTTGCGGCTGGAAAACTCGTAGCGCGGATCCAATGTTTTTATCATTTTCTTAAATCCTGCTCCTACTGTTCGCACGGGACACAAATCTTTAACCAAGTGGTACGTCACTGCACTATCACGCTGTTCCATCGTCTGCTGTCTCTGTCGTAAGGAGTGAGTTTTGTGTGTTTATGTTAGCGTTTGCTGCCTGGAAGAAGCACTAGCCGCTGCAGCCGCAGGCTTTCTAGCTTTAGCTGCCAGCTGGCTCTCATTGTATTGTTTGGGATGCCTTCTTTTCAAGTGATTAAACAAGTTTGTGGTGTTGCCATCACTTGCCTTGACGCTCTCCTTGTAAACTTTGCAAATGACGTTTCGTTGCTCTTTGCCATCTGGTGAAAAACCAAACCAGTTCCATATAATGGACGAGGCGTTCTTCTTCGGAACGAAAACCTCGTTGTCGCTCTCAGCCGCGGCCGAAGCCATGTTTGTTCACACACAGGTGAAAACAAGTGGGGCACAAATATATTACCATGACTCACTCTGATTGGTTAAGGGTCAAACAAAGGCGTGTCATTCGCCTGGGGTAAGTTCCCCCACTTCCCTTTTCATTCAGAGGCAGAATTTCAACAGCAGAGCTGTGAATCGTGATAAAAAGGTCTCTCAAAAATGACAGACCGTCAGATGTGTAGATCGTAAAACGGTCTAAAATCGTCATATCGCCCAGCCCTACGATCAGTGTGAGAACGGGAGAAGAGAGTGAGCTCTGTGCATGTGTGCCTGTTCTCTGCATCGGAGCTCCTGCCTGGCGAGGGGTCGACCGATTTATTGGTAGGCCGATATTTTGCATTTTTCATTATCGCCATCGGTTTTTACCATTAATACCTGGAAAAAACCATCAAATTGTTGTTGAAAAGGAATGAAATGATGCCCAGTTGTTGAAAAATATCGTAACATATAACCATAAAAATCATGTCTAAAGTACATGGGAGTAGGGCTGCAGCTATCAAATATTTTTGTAATCGAGTACTCTATCGAATCTTTTATCGATTAATCGAGTACTCTAATAAATTACCCTTTTGCGTTTGTAAACCATTATATCAAATAGCATGTAATAAAATATGAAAGACCTCTAAAAATGAGCATGCAACTGCCAGTTATTCTTCAAGTTTTATTCAAATTTAGTTTTCAAAACTTCAGCACTTCAACTTTACTTCACAGTAAACAAATGCGAGCGGCTGCGGCCCAAACAGCACCAGAACCGCTCACGGCACATGCGCAAAAATGGCTCGCCAGCTGTTTCCCTATTAACATACGTCCGTTTTAATTTCTACACTTTTTTTTTCTCACACTAACAAGGATTGTCGAGAAAACACGTTTGCCGTGGTTATGTCAAATTACACTGATCACACATTTATTTACTTTCTTTCGTTTTCCTCCGCCACTCATAAATACCCGTGTCCTCCTGCAGCAATCCTGAGGGAAAACAGACATCAATAACAACACAGTAAAAAGTCTGACGTGTTGTAAAAACTGCTATTTTTAGCACATTTTAAGACTGACGTGTTGCTACCAGACGTACAGTGTGAGCTGAAACTGAGTGCTACAAATGAAAAAGTCACACATTGTCCGCAGAATATATAGCAATACAGGCTAAAATGCATTATCTTGTAGAGGCTCCGAGTCCGCTTGCAGAAGAGACATTTACATGTGGATGTTTCCTGGTCAGGTGCTGCAGCATGGAGGATGTGGTGGTGTGGTAGGCTAAATCCATTTTACAGTATTTACACTGGACTACGTTTTCCGACTTACGACGTGAAAAATGGTCCCACACTTTTGACATTTTCTGTCTTTTTCGCACTCCACCGGGGTCCACGTTGTCTGCCACGGCTTAAGAGAAAGTTAAGTTACATTCGCTACTCGCGTGTGCATTCAGTGCAGTGTGTATGCGCGTCACTTATTTCGGTCCGGGTGAAACGTGACCCCGGGCGTTTGCAAAGCCATGAATTAATTAAACATGAATTAAACGAAGCCTTGAGGCAGAGAATTTGACTCAAGGATTTTTTGTACTCGAATTATTCGAGGTACTCGAGGAATCGTTTCAGCCCTACATGGGAGCGGGTCCAAGTTTCATGGCGATGCCATATTAGATGCTATGTTTCCTTCTACAGGAGCCCACGAGGACAAAATGCATTTTCTGATTTGTAACAAACTGTTACAAATCATTGGTCATTCTTAAATGTTGCTTTACACATTTACCTCTTCACTCATCGCCAGTAATGAAAGGGAGTCTGACGTAGGGCTGCTCGATTATGGCAAAAATAATAATCACGATTATGGTGACTGAAATTGAGATCACGATTATTTAGGACGATTTTTCAATTTATGTTGATTTTATTTGTTTTTATTCAGTCATAAAATTGCTCAGGGCACAATCGGGACAAAAATAAATAAGAAACAAGATGATCACTAAAATAACTCCTGATTCCCAGTATAAAAAGACCAATATACTTACATCTCATAGTTTATGACCCAAGGGCTATAGACCTTGGTTTAACTCATTTAAGTCTAACCAGTACAGACCCAAATACCAGTATCTTGCAAATACTGACAGCAAGAATTATACAGTGGCATTTATAACAAATAAATGTAAATAAATTGATGTCCACAAAATGTTTCATAACATTTATTGAGTCGTGTCAAGGTGCTGTAGGAGCGTACACTAGCACCGTGTCCTCAGAGAGATTAGTTATTATTTATCAGCGTGAGGAACTTATTTCTACCTTATTTATAAACTATTTATTTACAAGTCCATCAGTTAATGTAATAATTGTCCCAACCACAGCTGCACCCCCACCCCCCAACCCGGTCTCACAGCAATCGGGGCAAGCTGCACGTGTGTTTAGCACGCCGCACGCGCACATTTAGCTGTTTTTAGCGGCTCAGGAGTCCGCAGGTGCGGTGTGTGTGTCACTCACTCTGGTTACTCCAACAGGGAGCCGGCTCCGAGAGCTGTTTCTTTAGCGACTGACACATCACTACATCATTCCCTTTCCTAATGTCCTGAAGAAGTCCGGAGCGCAGGCGGAGTGTTTAGCTAACCTGCAGGAAACGTCGACGACAGTTATCCAGAAAGTAGCTAAGGGTTACCAGAGATGTTTCTGAGATGTTCGCTAGGTACTTTTAAGTTAAAAAGTCAAGAAGGGGGTCTGAAAAGCTGTTAGAAATAGCGTCAAAGTCACTAAGTTGGCAACACTGTAGGAGGAGCGCTTCATTTGCAACTCAGGGCAGCGCAAGCGGGAGGAGCAAATAATCGGCTTGTTTTGTTTTTTATAATCGTTCAAAACTCAGATCGTAATCGTGATTAAAATACGATTAATTGAGCAGCCCTAGTCTGACGTGTTTGTTATTTTTACTAAAGTTTCCACTCCCCGGGGATTTTTGACCCTAATGGGCATCCATTGGTAAGGTCTTAATCCAACTCAAAAATACAGCTTGCTTGCAGAGATTTAGGTATACTGCCCTCTATTGCCAGGAAAAATACACACTGTCACTTTAAACTCTTAGCTGCTTTTTTGCTTAACATGTTAGCTCCAGTTTTATGAATCAAATTCCTTTCTGAATGAGAGTCAAAGAATTTCACTCTGAGCGATAGAGAGGAGAGTCCTGCAGCAGCAGCGTCTAAACCCCCTGTGGAGACACGTTAGCCTCCTAACTAACAGCTGCTGATCAACCATCTGATTAAGGGACAGACACCTAACTCCTCCGCCACCATAACCCTAGTGATTTATACTGGAACTGTAGATAAATGTCGTAGTGAATCACCACTGTAGACCTCTGTGTCTATTAGAAACGCTCTCAGTGGTTTATTAGAGTCCAGTAGTCACTGAGCAGAAAAACAAACATGTCTGTGAAAACAAATGGAAGCAGGCAGAGAGAAAAGCAGGAAGTGGTTTAACTGGTAAAGTGGTCATGACTGAAGGAATGAGGTAACTGGTAGAACGCTGACAGAAAGAAGACATGGAGCCGATTTCTGGTTTCAGGAGCCGATGTTGATGTTTTCTTGTGTTTGTGCATCACTGAAGTCTGTCTGCAGAGACCATCTGTACAGAGATGCTGGATTATGGATGTGGGAGTGCTGATGGTTTGGTGTGCACCAGTACCTGTGTCCATGCTGTCCAGGTCCAGGTGGTGAAGAACACACGATGAGTCAGTCCCAGATCCTGAAGTGGTAGCAGGTTTTCTTTAGCCGTGTTTAGCTAACAGCTGCAATAGAAACAAAGCAGGAGAGCTGATTAAGATGCTGCTTCAGAACAACGCAGGAGATTAAAGATCCAACGCTTTGGTTCTGATCAGCTGAGGACAGATCCAGTCTGGAAAAGAGGACCTTTGCTCACCAGAGTTCACGGAGTAGAGCTAACCGCTTTTTCCTCCAGAGTCACATTCAGATTCGGGGCTTTTCCGTCGGAGAGTGTGAGCAGGATGGATCAGAGAGCGAGCAGCGATCCTGCATCATGACCAACTCAGATGAGCGAGTCTGATAGAGGGAACCTCTTCAATCTGATGAAAGCAGCAAAACGAGCGCGTTTCTCAGAGAGGCCAAAGGAACAGCAGCAGATCCAGAGGGCAGGAAGTCTAGAGAAAAGCTTTTCTCACCCACAACCTGATTCTGGAGCTCCGATTGTCACGAAGACCGCAGAATATCTTCTCTGGTTCTGGAAAGAACTCCACCAAGTTGTTGAGGAGGAGAAGAAAGTTTCCACAGCCTGGTGAGAAGATTTCTGCAGCAGCAGCAGTTAGTCGCTTTAGCTGATCAACTCTCCCAGAGACTGAAGTGAAGACATTTTTACTGCAGAGCCTCAAATATTCTCCTCACACACCAGAACAACAACAAGCTAGCTCTGCTAGCAGCTTCCGGTTTCTGCTTCTTCTGGTGGTCAGTGACCAGCGTAAAGTTGCACTAGCGCCACCTGCTGGAACAGAATAAAACACTATTGGTGATATGTGTGCCTGAAGAAGCGTTTCAGTAGCCTGGCAAGCCAGACTAAATAAATGTATTAGTCTGGCCATGCTCCATTGACGGTTCTCGGTTGTGGGGCGGGTTCTACCGTTGTCTTTCAAATGATCTCCGCATTCCACTGGACAATGAATGTGACATACTCTTGTTTCACTCTGTTGAGTCTAGCTGCAGACGCAGCCCCGTTCAAACACGCCCCTATGTACAAAACACGCGTGCATGTCATCGACATATATACATGCATGTACGAAGACGAGAACTCGCATGCGTGTTGCAAGAGATGGAAATGACGGTTCAGGCAGTGGCGGCTGGCCAGTAGAGGGCGATAGGGCGCCGCCCTCCCAGTTTCCCCAGTGTTTTTCATTTTTATTTAAAAAAATAAATAAATAAAATTAACAATTATCACATATTCTAAGTTAATTGTGTGTTTTGTAACAAAAATAAATCATATATATATAAATCTATATCGGTCTCTGCCGAGCGGTGGAGGCTGTGTGCTGTTTTTCAATCGCCCAAACAAGACGGGACCAGCTGTCCAATTGCTGACAAGAAAATCAAAGGGTAGGAATGGGAATGTATCCAATCAGCGTCAACGTTGTTTCAGAAGCATGATGGGCGATAAAGCTACCGCCAAGGCTTTCGTTGGTGTTCGGTAAAACTCGGAGAGTCTCGACTCCAGCACGTTTTTGGTCGTGACTCGTGACGCACATGGAGCAGACGCAGACATGGACGCCAGTGAGCCTACAACCAGGATACCGGATCTCAGCAGCCACTGAATTCAGTTCGGCCTCTTCTCCAGTATCCGTTCGAGAGGAGAACTATGGTGGAAAAACTTAATGTCAAAGAGCTTGGACCAGATCAGCCCGACGTAAAGATAAGCCAGCAGGACAAGGAGAAGGGTAAACTGTACACACGACGCTTCTCCCAAAATTGGTACACCAGGAAGCAGTGGCTAGCTGGATGCAATCACGCTAATGCGTTATTTTGCTTTCTGTGTTTGTTATTCAAAATGGCTGGGATCCACAGAAGGTGGATGTGGAACTTGTGTCTCATTGGGGACTCCATTCATTCTCTGACTGAGGAATGCAGCGCATCAGTGCAGCAGCAGCCAACAAAGAAACGGAGGACGTTTGGACAGGGAGAACAGCAGCTGGGTGCAGAGGTAAGCTGTACATTACATTTCTGTAAACAAGACAATCAGAATCAGAAATCCTTGGTTGTCCCACAAACCGGGACATTTGTTTAATAACATGTTTAATGTGCAATAACTGTAAAAACTAATTTCAACACACATACTTATTATACATATTTAATCATGTAAATGTGTATATCAAGTAAATTTGTACATACATCAATCTGATTCCATTTTACTTGTTACACTTCTGCTGCAGCAAACAAATTTCCCAGCTTTTGGGACAATAAAACATTTCTGATTCTCAATGAGATGTTTTTACATTTGAAGTAAAAACATCTCATTGAGAACCAGAAATGTTTTATTGTCCCCAAAAGTGGGAAATATGACTATTGTAAGAGGATACTGATGACATTATTTCCTATGAAAGTGTTTCCACTTTCCAAAAGTCCTAACAGTGTAAATTTCTGGCATTTTGTCTAAGTAGTGTTTACTACCATTACTGTAACAGTGACCTGCTCATAATTTTTCGTGTTCACTCAAATGTTGAAATTAAACAAAATGTTTTTGTTACTTGCCTCTTGCATTGCCTATTTACCATTTATGGTCATGTTATTTTATGTGCAATTTAATGCAGTATTTTTCAACCTTGGTCCACAAGGCAGCGTGCCAATAGTCAGACACACCTGGATTAATCAGTTTGTCCAATGATGTAAGACAGGAAATAAGAGCTGTGCTTAATTCAGGAAATAGTGAAGTTGTGCACAAAGCTCAGAAAGCACAAGTTTGTTTAAAAATAAAAAAATAGCACAGCCCCACCAAAAATATTTTTCACCAGCCGCCACTGGGTTCAGGTAAAGACATATTTATATTTTCACAACTTGCGAAGATTTTGTACTTTAAATTTGAACAATTAAGACATAGTTTGATAGATAGCGCATTCGTAATTTTTTTCTGAAACACTTTTATATAAAATTAAGCATTATTGGCAGTGGGGGAAGACGTCATGGATGCAAATTTTTTTTAATATAATTTTTAATGGGCTGCATGCAAGCCTTTTGGCCAAAATAAACATAACAATAGGCTATTTATTTGACCGTTTATGATTCCTCATCTAATAAACAGCAAACTCACGACGGCAATGTGGTAGCCCGGAGTATTCTACAAACACAAGAACAGTGCTAATGCCTATATGTATTGTTTTCACATTGTTTATGACAGCCTCTAGGTGTAAATGTCATTTTTACTAATTGCTATTTATCTTTGTTTCATTAGTGAGAGGCAGCTGATGTCCTATGCCATGGAACTGCTCATATAGTCGGAGAAATTCAGAAAAGCTCTGGACTCATCTGAATTTTTGAAGAGGCTGTAGCATTGTGTGTGCACTTATTTATTTATTTTGGAAGGTATTTGTAAGGCCAATAAAAGTTGTTGCTGGGTGTTTCATTTGTCAGAACTTTTTTTCTAAAGCCAAACTTTTCTGCTTTTGTGTTTACAGCATATTCTTTACAGATTAGTGTATGGTCAATATCAGTTTACTAGTCTTGTGAATTGTATACTTAATGCAAAATATTTTAGTAATTTCTAAATCAATACATTTTGTGTCAAAGGGCCAGCAATTATTCCTGTTAACAGTATTTATGATGAAATGCATATATACACATGTAAATATGCCTAAAATTCGGACAGTCTAGCCTTCACCTCTACGGTGGCCCATAGGTCCCGTCACAGCCATGGCGGCAGCTACATGCAAAGGAAAAATGCTAATGTAACCGCGCCTTCCAGAAAGAGACGGGAAAAGATATAGGATTGTGGTTGCTCAAGAAAAGGTTGATAACCGTGAACTTTCAGGGTCGCTTTATTTAAACAACACCATTAACAACTCAGCTCCAACTTCTGTTGTTTTTCTCTCTTTTTAAACATCACATCCTGTCAGCGCCACCTTCAAAATAAAAGTCCCGTAAAAGTGGGTTACATGTCTCCCCCCACACAAAAGAAAACATCCACGTTTTCAAATAACAAAAAAAAAAAAACATGAAAAGAGAGAGGAGAGAACAAAAAAATTATTAACAATAATAACAAGTCAAAACAACATCATAAAAAACGACCCCCATCAACTGCAATAAAACATAACAACTCACAACAAAACATCATACACAAATCCCCCAACAAGGGCCCATCACCAGAAAAAAAAACCTCAGAACCCAAGGTTTCTTCTTCCCCCCCCCCCCCCCCCCCCTCCAACAGTCAATAATACGAGACAAAGTTCTTAAACCAACCCGGTGGTCGAACAGCCCTTCCCGCACGTGAAACAGTCCGAGATGACCCAGCCTCCATCACCTCGGTCACCTCGTCCCCGAGCCGTGAGGATGCGTCCAACGTGGGACACCGACAGACCCCTGAGGGTGGGACAGGAATCAAACCCAAGGTGTATAGTTTCAACCGATTGTAATGAACCACTTGGGGGGGGGGGGGGGGGGGGGGGTGCTCCATCACTGAGGAGGTCACCGATGCAATACACATGACCCGTTACCCCTTCTGAGTCCAACACAGCTAAGACCTTGAAGGGACCCCTCCAATGGGGAGCCAGTTTCTTCCTATCCTCCCGAGGGTTATGAAGCCACACGAGATCCCCCGTCGAGTATGGCTGATGGCGGGTACTGGTGTTGTGATAAAGTTTTTGTTTCTCATGAGCCACTGCTGCATTCTGCCTCGTGTTGGCAAAGGCCACCTCCAACCGATCCCTCATAGCCGACACAAAGTCCGCATGTGACAGGGGAAGATCAGAGGGAGTGCCCTCTTCGGAACCAGCACATCCACTGGAACACGAGCCTCCCTGCCGTGGATCAGATAGTAAGGAGTGTACTCCGTGCTTGCATGCACGGTCGTGTTGTATGCAAAAGCTACTTGCTTCAAATAATTGTCCTGGTGCTCTGTCCTGGAGGAGGTACCAGCAGACCACCATTATTGTTAACAGGCAAGTCATTCACAGAGACGTAACAGCCGTCATTTGAGCCAGCCCAGCAGTCCCTGTAGATGGACGATGGAGTGGACAGTGAGAGGAAGCGTCCCAAAGCTCTCTCTGCAGACCGTCCTGTATGATGTTCCTCTGACCAGAAACGTCCAGCCACGGGTCTGCTCCAGCCCTCCATCCACGTCTGGATCCTCCTGCAGCAGATCCAGCTGCTCTCGCGTGTTGGTTTATTTGGATTTTGGACCTTGGACAGTTATTTGGATTACGATTTTGAACTTTCTCCTGAAACCTGGTTCTGTTTGCCTTCCTAGGATTTTCACCACACCTTCACTATTCAGCTAAAGAACTACGGATCTTTATTCCACGTCCCATCCTCCTCCTCAGCTCCTGGATCTCCCCTCTCTGCTGCCTCACCTCACGCCCGGCTGGATCTCCACTCTCATCCACCTCTGCTCCCCACTACCCCACTGCTCGCTGAGCTAGATCTTTGGACTTATCGCCCACGGCATTACTCGCTGGTTTTCCAGTGCTCCTTTAGTTCTCGTTTGTGAATAAAATACTTTTATTTCTTACCTTCTGACTCCCGTGCTGATTCTGCATATCTTGGGTTAAACACCTTCCCCCAGTCATGACAAGACTGTGAGCTTCATCTAAAACATATTCACTATGGTGTTTTCAGCTTGTTTATAGAAGTTTTAAAACTATCGACATTACGTAAATCCCAAGGAGTAATGTTCCAGAACTGAACTACTCTGTCTGAGAAGACCCACTGACTAAAGGCCCTTTTTCTGAGAGGGAGAAATAATTCAAGGTGGCAGTTCCAGGTAGTCCAGCTAAAGCTGTGAAGTCTAGATTAGCCAGGAGGGGGCAGCACAGGCACGTTCTAACTCCTTCTGGACAGCTGAGCTCAGATTGTTAATGATGAAATAATCAAAACTCAACTATTGTGTTTTTTCTCTCTATGAAGGTGTAAAACATACAATAAAGAGATGCTTTCTAACGTTTATTGATTTATGGTCTTTAAAACCTGATACGTTTCACACAAACACTGATTTAAGGTCATGATAATAAACTTACATTTAGATGAATCATAATGAAAGGTGTTGAAGTTTAAGTTTTTATTCAAACACATTTGCTTGTTTTTCAGTTAGATTCGTTCATATTTTCCATTAACCGGTTAAAATGTTCACTAAAGGTTGAGAATAAAACACGTTAACCAAATGTTTCAATTTATTTATACTTTTCTTTAAATATGCAGAAAACATAAATGTACAGAAATTCAAACATAAATAAAGAATTTCCTCCAGTGATTAAGATAACACTGTTGTATAAAATCTCGTGACAATTCCCAGCTACTCGTGAACGTCCCATCGGACCCCTGATGCGCTGTCCGTGGTGCTGAAACCTCAAACGTCTTCTCTCCTGATATTTTAAAGCTTTTTTCTGCACGTGAAGGCGTAACCTTCGGTCACGTGACCACATAGATCTGGGTTTTTGTGTTTGTTTGTTTGTTTGTGTATAAAAGCAGCGGCAGACACGAACGCGTCGCGCGTGGGGTTGCTCGTGGATGCTGGAGGGTGGAGAGACCACGTGACAGAAGAACGCAGCCAGTTCCCGCCCTGCGGAAGATCGTGTGTGAGGGAAAGATGGAGGCTCTAAATCAAAGATAGATTTTAAAGACTGAATAAATACTTTTGAGAAAAAAAGAGTAAACATAGTCTGTCATTTTTAAATGTAAAAGGAGAAAATTACAGCTAACAAAGTTTTATATGAAATATCTGTGGTCTGGTGGGAACACCTTGGAACATCAGAGGAAGAGCTGGAAGGTGTCATCAATCAATCAGATTTTATTTATAAAGTGCTTTTCAAGCAAAGTGCGACTCAAAGTGCTTTACAGAATAAAAATGACCCCAAATTTCCAGTTTAAAAACATTAACAGGCACACACACACACACACACACACACACACACACACACACACACACACACATCAGTAAAAATTCATATTTGGCTGAGTCCAGATGAGCCAAGTAAGGTAAGGCAAGGAAACGCCATCAGTCATCATCAGCAACAGGTTTTCCACACTAAAAGGGCGCTCAGAGGAGGGGGAGCACAGACCCCCACCTCCACCTCAGCTTTACCTGTAGAGCGCTCACGAAGCAACAGTCGACCACCGCCCCGGGGCAGAGGGCCCCTACAGAGAAAACACAGGATTAAAATGAGTAAAAATATGAAAATAAAAGAGCTAATAAAAATGACAAAAGTAAGAAAATAAATAATAAATAAAATCATATAGACAGTAAAATTATAATATTATTAAATAATAAAACTGTGCTAAATATAATCATATAAAACACGCAAAGCCATTAATAACACATAATCAACGAGAAATAAAACTATAGTAAATAATTAAATAAAATTCATCTCAGTACTCTACAATGACAGAAAATAATAAAGCACTCTACTTAAAATTATATTTTGTGGTAAATAAACTTGTAGTTAATTCAGGGAAAAATAAAAAAGATTTTTTACTTTTAGGTGAACACAGCAGGCTTCCGTACACAGCTGATCATGTTTCTGATCCTTCATAAATACAATTTTCAGGTTTCTGTACTTTCTGTTCCCGTTGCCATGACTCCCGCCCGCGTGAGCCATCTGCCAGTTGGAGGATCTGCGTGCAGCTCTTTTCTCTCCGCTCCGAGGACGCGTCCAGCTGGGTCTGGTTCCGCTCTTTTCCTCTCCTCTTCCACACCGATAAACGGACTCTGTCCGCCGTAAACGGGAGGGTCGGCCGGCTCCAGGACTCCGGTTCGGTCCAGATTAAACCAGCTGTTTATCCGAAGCGTGTTGGTTGTTTTTCACCGGAGAGGAGATGTCTGTCGCGGGCTTGAAGAAGCAGTTCCATAAAGCCACCCAGGTGAGACCCGGGGCTTCAGCTGTTGCCCCTTTGCTCTTTGTTTGTGGTTGTTTTGAACAAAAACAAAACATGCGGGGAGAGTGAATAAATGCATGTAAATCGGAGCTTCTCTGAGGATAAACATCGTGTTTTCTGTGCTTCGTTAGCACCAACACGTCTGAAAATGTTACCGGGTCGTTTTTATTTGGACTGTTTGGTGAATTCTCAGCTCCAGGCTGTTTTTTGTGATACTTCACGTTGATATTTTTGGTTTTACTGATTTATTTTGGCTGGTTTTGGACATTTCGAGTCTAATTGGTTGAAGAGATGAAATATTTGGACTTCGTGTTTTTTCTCGCGATATTTGGAGATACAATCGGGGTGAACCTCTAAAGTGATGTTATGTAACACTTCATCAGCTGATTGGCTGCTGCTGCGAGCAACAGGGAATTCCCTCCATCCCTCAGACAACAGGCTCTGATCATCTCCATCCTCCTCCACAACCCGTCCTGCATCCCTCCATCCTTATTATGGCTCTTTTCATGCATCCCTCCTTCATTCATTCATCGTTCATCCATACCTCTATTGTTCATCACCCCCTCTACTCCAAGACTCATCCCTCCATCGTCACACCATTATGATCTTCTTTCCAACCAATCCTCTTTCTGCCCCTTTTATTCATGCATTTGTTCATCCCTCCATCGCCTTCATCCTCTTCTTGTTTACCCTCCACCCCTCCGTAGCATCATTTCATCTTGTGGTCATTTGCAGAATATTAATAAACTCTATCCCTCTCATCTGCTTCCATCCAACTCTTAATTATCGTCATCCTGCTCATTTTTTCCTCTCATCCCACTCTCAGAAATAGAGGTACGAGAGAAGGACATTTTTGTACCTATAGGTACATTTTTTTTAAATGTTCCCTTAAAAGTACAATACTGGTCTTTAAAAGTCCAGAAATGCCCCTTTAAAGGTTCAATTTGAAATAAAGTACAAATCTGTACCATTTTGACCTGTACTGCAGTGACAGTAGCAGAATGTGGTAATGGGTCAGCATGGGAAAATCGGGATGGGCCTGGTTAATTGTAAAATTCATATGAGATGTGAGTGTGCTCATAAAAGTTACATGTTATAATCAAATCTGTTGGTCCTCTCCTCTGTACGTAAATTATCCTATGATGCAAATGTGACAGTGTGAGCGTCCTGTCACAGTGTCCTGATTGATCATGAGCCCTGGCTACTTGGCCAAGTAGATGTCCCTTTGGCTGACTGGTTGGAGAGTATGACTCTCATCCGGGAGTCGAATCCCACCCGGGCCCTTGTTTCTCCACCTTGCCACACAAAGAATATCTGTAACCTCCCTTTGTGTAAGTTATGTTAAATTATATTAAAACACACACACACACACACACACACACACACACACACACACACACACACACACACACACACACACACACACACACAATGGCATGCAGGCACAACCAAATGATGTTAAAAGAAATTGGTCCATTTCCAATTTATTAAGTTCCAGTTATAATTTTTAATGTTTTACATCTTGGTTGTTGCATTCAAAAACGTGAAATCATTTTACTGTTATGTTTAGCCATTTACTTTTTTGCTTTTACTACATCCTAGAATTGTTCATTAATTGTGAGGTTTTTTTTTGGAATTTGTAACATCAAGTTAAACCGAAGTTCTTTGGAAGTTAAAATGTCAAGCAGATTTTTATGTTACGGTGACTACATTTTGTAAATTACAAATATAGTTCGCCAAGACAGCATGATGGTTCTAAACAACTGCGCATTGATACCACAAAGTTGTATTTTCATGTGTCAAGTTCGCAACGCGCATTAATCCCAAAGGCTGAAAAGCCAGCAGCGATGAGTGCTCCGCCCCCGCACTGACTAGCATTGACGCAGAAAATGACTCTCAGGGGGTTATCAACGGAGGAGCTCCTTAAAAAGTTGATGGAAGAAGGCATTGATGTGTCAGACGACGAGGCGCAAAGATTTAGAGGTAAGTCGGGTGTGATTTTGTGTTTTTATAAAAATTACAACGTGTAATTTTACAGTAGTTAGCAAAAGTCCGAAGAGCTACATTTCACATGGGTGAAAGCTAGCAGTTAGCTAAGTTTTAAACAAAGAAAGGTACAAATGTGGACTATTTAGACTGTTGGTGGAATGTTCAACGTCCGTCTGCCCGCTGTATTCGAGTGTTTTATCAATAAATAGTGACTAACCCTGTACAACAATGTAAAAAAATCAATAATTTCTCAAAACATGCTAGTATGCAAATATAGCTATTAACAAAATCGTTTTCTAAGCAAATGTATCGCATCCAACTTGTTTCCCGCTCAAAGGAATTTTAAACAATGGAAGGTACACATTTGTACCATCCCACCTACTTAGTGAGATTTTTGAATATGATGAGAGTTGTAAGCTCTGCACAGGGACACTGTCTGCAAACACCTGTGATGCCAGCTAGCTGCTGATCAGCGATCGATTTATCATTTCAAATAAACCAAAATCAAGGAGGCAAATTGTGGGCAGCAAAAACAGACAAGATAGTCTAGGGTTCTATTCTATCCACAACTCGGATTATTGTTTTGGTTGCAATGAATAATGCCTACAGCCAACAGGCAATCGGTGCAAGGATTTCCCCACAAAAGAAAAAAATGTTGTGTACTACAACATTTCATTGATGATTTAAAATTCACTTCAGCAATGTATCCGGCTTGCAACGTGATTAAACAATGTCACGATATCGTTGCAGACGAGTCAGGTCAGGTCACAATTTACCAGTTAATTTATATTAACAATTAATCAAGACAATTTATTGTGACTTCCTTTTGGGGAATATAGACAGATTCACAATGATAGCTTATTGTTGTTGTTGTTATTATGATGTATTGACCATTATGTCACTTTAAAACTAAATTTGAAAATTATTTCATACTGTACTTTATATTTCAGATAACGATGTAGATGGAGAGACAGTAGACTGTGGACTCACTGAGACCATGGTTGCATATCTTTTTGACAAGTCTTTCAAAAAGCAGCTGAAGTTCAGAGACTTCACAAATCGCTACAAGGAAGTCATCATCACTTTACAACCGGTCGACCCATTTGAAGGTACAGTTGAAGGTCCAGTGTCCCAAGCAAACCAGAGGTAGGTTGTGATAAATGTCTAAATTTGCATATGCATTTAAGTGCTTGTAAAATGGCTAGTTAATGCTGTTTTCCTACTGTATTGCAGTTCTATACCTTCTTGCCGTAGACTGCCTGCAGTTATTTCCATTCCAAAATTCCCACAAGATGTCCAGAGTCGCTTGGATCTCAAAGAACCAGTCCAGAAAGAACAGAAGTACCGAAACAAAATAATTGGGACTCTTTATGAAATGCTGTCACAGTACACAATGTAAGGGTTCCTTTCCGAATAATTATATTAATTTCTTAATATTAATATTGCTGTTGTACGAAAGGCAGAGAACAAATGGTTAGCCCATCTGCCTCTCAATCTGGAGACCAGCGTTTGAGTGTGGTGTGACACACGGTTCCAGTGAACTGGCAATAGTGGTAAAACCATACATCCTGTGTCTCCAGACCTTATCTGGACTATGATATCCAAAGTGTTTATTTTCGAATTTGCTCAAGAGTAAATTTAATAATTCAGGACTGCATTCAATTAATGGAGTTTGGGAGAGGTGTGGCTGCTTGTCCACGCCATTTAAAAAAAATTAAAATCAACTTTAGCTACATTGATTTGACATTGGTCTACAACATACTATTTATGGTAATAATAAAATGATTAGAAGAATTGAAGAACAGAAAAGCCCCCAGGAAAGGATAAGAGTAATCAGTGTATTGTGGGTTGTTTTTCTTATGTTTGAAACAGGTACCCAACCCACTCAGACTACATCCAGGTCATCAAAGCCCTGATTGTGAAGTATCCTTTCTTAAGAGATGTACACGGAAATGGTTATGTGAGTACCTCTCCTTTTTTGCTTCCTTTATAGATTATATTAATATAAGGTAAGCATAATTAACTTCTTATATACATTTGAAACAACTAGGACACCTGGCATAGCCAACTCAAGAGAAAGTTCAAAGCAGAACGGGCTCCCCTAATCAGCAACGAAGAAGTGAACCGGGTTAAAGAAAAGTTTGGACGCACGCAGAAACATCGGACCACAGAGGAATCCAGCAGCTCCTGTCTGAAGAGACTGAAGCCCTCTCTCGTAAGTCCTCACACCCTGAGCCTTTAAGAGCTAAGGTAACATATGTAGTCTTATTATGTTCTCTGTAAAGCTAAAAGTAAACATTAATTGAAAGAAACATTTTAACATTAACATAGAAAAAGGAACTTCACAGTTGATTTAACAAAAGTCAGCTCAACTTGCAATTCCTATTCAACATTTTTGCATTTTTTTTAAAGCATTTGGTGTACAAATTACCGCATTTCGAGTAACATTAACTCATCAGATTTTACTTATGATATTACTGATATCTGCTTTGACAAAGGATTCGTGCTTTGTGGGGGAAGATGCAGCCTCCGTTGATGCTCATATCAAGGTACTAAATGATCAGCACAAGAAGCTACATCCTGACACAGCACTGGTGAAAGACCGCATGGCAAAAACCTTTGCATGGAGACGTCGAGAGGTAGCTGAAGGAATGTGTACTGTGGACCTATTAAAGAGATATCCATTCCTGGGGACACCCGCAGGGGTAAGGATTGTTAAGATGATTGGGGAATAAGCTAATGATTTTTTTGTCTCTAAATCTGATTATTACTTTCTGTACTAACAGATTAATCAATCTGTTTTTTTATCTTTAGAATGTTTGTTCAAGGGTTAAAGCACTTTACATTTATCTTCAGTCTGTGTCTTTAACCCTCCCACTGTCCTAATGGGTGTGACCCCATGAGGAAAGTTGGCCATTGAGCAGGATTGATGGTTTATCCCTTGAGGTCCACGTGGCAGGGATGAGGTGGTGCTCACTCCTCACCCCTGCCACGTGGACCTAAGGGATAAACCATCAACCCTGCTCAATGGTCAACTTTCCTCGTGGGGTCACACCCATTAGGACAGCGGGAGGGTTAAACATGTCAAAAGTTTAAATCCTCAATGTAAAATGTAATTCTTTTGTCTATTCTGCTCTTTTCATTTCCAGTTGTGTGATGAGGTTGATTTAATGCATCCTTGCCAAGACAACATCTGTCGCCGCTTTAGCAAAAACTTCACAGCTGTTCTTCAAAATGTTCTTCAAATGACCAAGGATTTGCCACTGAAGAAGGTCTACATGGAGGCAAGAGAGAATGCACTGGCTGAAGACATTACAGGTGCTAATTTGACCTCATACAAATAGTAAATTTTGTGACAATTCATTTGCTGTCTCTTCCAGAGATAATTGATGTACCATAGTGCCATGCCAAGAGCATGTTAATGGGAATTTGCATGCTATCAGAATCTAATGAAGTGCATTTGCATCCGTATGACCTAGGAATCGACTTCAAGGGGGCACTTCTCCTCTTGCCATCCATCTTCAAGGAGAAGATAGAAGATTTCATCATCCTTGGAGAGGTAAATGCATGATGCCATGCATAGCGTTTGGCCACAAGTTTCATTCTTGGTGTTTTGTTGGCATGGAGCTGAATTCAGCTGCAATTCAGCATCACAGCTAAGCTAATGTAGGGGAAACACTGCTGTTAATCCACAGTGCTGCTGTGCTCTTGGGTTTTGTCTGGTGTTTACACCGCCCGCCCGCCTGCCTACCTACCTACCTACGTACCTTTATTGTCCCCTTAGGGAAATTCTTTTTCACAGGCACTGTCACTGTCAGGGGTGATTGCTTTTGCCCCTGAATATTATGTCAAACTTTAGCAGGTTATCAAACACTACCACAACAGTCATTGGTCAAGAAGTTTGTTTGGAGTAGGGGCCATGTTTACAGGTTATCAGAATAGACAGTTTTGTTTTGCAGCAAAAAAAGAATGTAATTTGAGGAATCTGTTGAAAATCCACTTGGCACATATTGCTCAAACATACTGTATACTAATGTTTTTCTTCCTCTTCTGCAGAATACTCCCACGAGTCCATACCCAACTATTCGAATGAAGGATAAGAATTGGACAGCTGCCCTCTCAAGACAGTGTCGCGGTGTTGTGACAGTTGAAGGAGTGGATGTTTGCTCGTGCCGCTCGCTGGATGAGGCCTACATCTCAGCATTCTCCAGCTTCTTCGTGTTCAACATGACCTACCCTGCATACTTCAAGAAAACACTTGTCTTTCTTCAGAACTGCATTGTCAACATAGGAGAACAGGGAGACAAACCCCTTCCAGTAAGTGTCACCAGAGTACTTAACCAACTCTATTAAAAATGCCCCCACTCTACAAATGTTCAAAATGTTCAAAAAGGGCATTTACTCTGAGGAAGTTGATTACACATGTTGGGTTAGTACATGCACATGAGGCTCATTTCAGCATCACTTGTGGAATAAATGACTGCCAGGCAGCTTTTTGCAAGTATCACTCTTTTCGACGCCATGTGTATCGCAAACACAAACCCTCTGTTTTGAATAGCCTTGAGGTAGTTGAAGATGGATTTGAAAACCATGCACACAAAGAGGTTGAAGACACACACACACACACACACACAGTTCAGACGAGACACACACAGTTCAGCAGCCCACACCACCTAGTATGGACAGTTTGCTTGATAATTTAGGAGATCATTTTTTTAGCTTTATTCTCAAATGTGTGATTGCAAGCACATTTCCCACTTTGTCTATATATATTACACATATATATATATATATATATATTCTGGCTTGTTGAAGTAGAGCAAAACATTTGTGTGGACAGTTTTTTAAATACATGCCATCTCTGTGATCCGTCAAAACATTTTGTTCAGGTGTTTAATGTGATTGTTTACTTTTTTTAAAATGAATGTATTTTTCCTGACATGTTCTATGGCAATATACAAATGTAATGAAGGATGTATTCCTGTGGTTGTTTAAATGCTTTGATGTAATTGTATTATCGAAAATAAATGGTTAAATAACCAAATATTTTGGAGTGTTGGGGGTACATTTTTGTCTCTTTAGGTACGAAATAGGTTGTCGCTGGGGGGGTACCCTCATAGGTACCTTATTGTACCCTTTTCAAGGGAACATTTCTGTACTATAGTTTGAAGGTACATTTATGTCTTAGGAAAGTACATGACTGTACTTCAGATGGTACAACTTCATAAGGTACAAAAATGTACCAAGCCTAAAGGGTACAGAAATGTCCCTCAAAAAGGAACACCCCCAGCGACAAGCGTTTGTACCTTTTTTGGTACACTTTGGTACCCCTATTTCTGAGAGTGTCCCGTTTCTAAACATTAAATTCTTCAAGCTGCTTGTTTTATCTTCATCCTCTCATCTCTCCACCCCTTTCACCTTTTCTTGTTTTTAAAGCTCTCCGTTCATTAGTGCATCTCGTCCTCCTTCCATCATCCCTCCTTCATCCAGACTGGACCTTCTATTCCTTTTCTCTAAACAAACCATCTGCTTGTTGTGGTTTTACAAACAGGCATGAACACCGAACCTGACTAGACCTCATTGGTTCTTTTTGTTTTGCTGATGATGACGATGGAGACAAACATAACGTCTTCTTCACTCAGAATCATCTAGTCTCATCCTTTCTTCTGGTTGTGCTGCTCCAGACCCGTAGGAGAATAACATTCCTCCTGTTTGGATCCGGGTTTCCAGGATAAGTTGGAACGGATAAACTTGTCATTCCTCATACCTTCCTGTAGTCCGTCAGCTTCAGACACCTGGATGCTCATAGAACCTCCTCCTCCTTCTTCTTCTTCTTACATTTTATTTTATTTATTTAGGACAGTGCATGTTAATGAACATCAATGTAAAAGCAGCATACGTGAATGTAAACATGCCAGATTATAGCCAAAGGCTAAGTTCCATCTGTTGTCCTCAGACAGAAAAAGACATAATAATTCATAAAAATTCATCATTCATTCATAATAAAAACTCCATCACCAAACTTACACATACACACCATTCTATTCACAAATAAAACATTAAAACTATACAACTCATCAGGGGTGGCGTTAGGCCCGGCTACTTGGGCTGAAGCCCCGGATCTTTCATGATAAGCCCCGGATCTAAATCGCGGAAGTAACATGCAGTACCAAAGTCACACAGAGAGGGCGCAGCTGGCAGTAGTTTGTAAAGTCCCATTTAGTCGTCACACACACAGGTGTGTGGTGAAATTTATTCTCCGATTTTGACCCATCCCCTGAGTTGCAGACACGCCGCGCTCGGGAACTATTTGGTGGTTTAACCCCCCAATCCAACCCCAATCCAATGCTGAGTCAAGCAGGGAGGCATTGGGTCCCATTTTTCTCAAAATCTTTGGTATGACCCGACCAGGAGTCGAACCCCTGATCTCCCGATCTCAGCGCAGACACTTTACCACTAGGCTACTTAGTCAGTATACAGTTTACCTGAGACTGAAGAGAAGCCCTTCAGCAGCTGGCTTCTGCAGTCTCTGTCTGAAACGCATGAGTGAAGATGGATATAAGGACGTTTTTTTAGACCAAAAGTACAACGACAGAACCCCAGCTCTGATGAGACTGGTGTTGACTCAGGTTTGTGAGTCTTATTTGAAAATATTTGTTGTGCTGCTGGTTTGCCTAAAGTTAGCTTACTATCAGGTAAAGTTGTTGGAGAAAGAAAGGGAATTATTCACTATCATCTCACACTAAACACTAACAGGAACAATACTCTGCCCTGAATATGCTGAATATGTAGCTTCAGATTAAACATTATGTGGTACAAGACAAATATATATGATGTTGACTAGTGCGTGTCACGTGTGTGCGCGCATGCGTGTGTGTGCGCGTGCGCGCGCGTGTGTGTTAAGCCCCGGATCTTCTTCAGTCCTAAATCCGCCCCTGCAACTCATACATGATCACACACTTGATTTGTCCATAACCAGTTTTTAATCTTTGCCTTACACAAACTGAAAGTCGAGCATTCTCTAACGGGTTGAGGAAGACTGTTCCACAGATGGCCACCCTTGACAGAGAGGACGTTCTGCTCAAAAGCTGTCCGTCTATGTGGTGTAAACAATTCTCCTCGAATTGTTGCTCGTGTGGTCCTGTTTGAGCTTTCTTTATGCCTAATGAACTGCTTTAGTGGTGGTGGAGCAAGGGAGTGTTAAACAGACTCTTTTAAGTTTCATTAAGTTATTGAAGTTGTCATTTATGTTTTTTTAACACATGACAATGGTGGTGGGAAGTCGGTTTTTTGTCAAATAATTTTAAACTTCTTTTATAAATGTTTTCAATAGTTTTAAGTGTTGTTGGACAAGTGAGTGACCAGGAAAGGGTATCCGCGGGTCCTTAAAAAGTCTTAAATTTGCTTTTTCAAACTTAAGGCCTTAAAAATCCTTAAAAATGACAAATAATCCTTAAATACAGTTTCCAAAGGTCTTAAATTACCAAAGACCCAATAAACAAGATTCTTTTATTTCTATAAAATTTTTGTGAATTTCTAGTTTGTGTTCAGCAAGTTTTGTGTACGATGTTGGCGTAAGCGGAACCGTACACATTCAGTTGGTTGTGAAAGGGGGCTATTTTTAGATGAGCACGCTAGTGGGAGTTTGCGTCATGGGGAAGTGCAACATTAATGGTAACTGGATGGCTAATCCCACGTTCGTGACGTGGTTAGCACCGGTTCCAGGCAATAGCTGGAAATTATAGCTTAAATTTAATTTTAAAAATAGCTTAAATTTGGTCCAAGTGGCCTTAAAAAAGGTCTTAAAAAGTCTTAAATTCGGCTCCCTTAAACCTGCAGATACCCTGCAGGATGTCAAACAGTGGTCCATATGAGAGATGATCATTGAGTAAAAATAAGTTTTTGCAACATTCGTATTTAGATTATTACATATATGAGTAAAATTTCGATTATTAAATTTAAGTACCTGGGACACTTTCTTCTTCTTCTTCTTCTTCTTCTTCTTCTTCTAATAATAATAATCATAATAATCATAATACATGATCATAAAGAAAATAAGATAAAAGAAAGACCTGATGATGATAAAAGTTTCAGTGTGGTGTTTGGGTTCCGAAGGTTCTTGAAGTTACTTGAACGTTCTGCATTGGACGAACTTATCGACCATATGCAATATATTGAGATTTATTCTGTGTTCGCAAATCAGTCTGTGCATCATTACGTCTATCTACGTTTATTTAAGAGTCACATGCACGAATGTATCGCCCATGGCCATTTATTGGACTGACGATTGGCCAAATTATTTAAATCGCCCAACCTTATTATACATTAGCTCTGTTGCAAGTGTAGAAATGTCTATTTCTGGCCACGAACCTGGCATTAAAGAGTATTAAAGAATGCAGTTTATCAGCAATCTAAAACTGCTTTGAATCTCTAAGAAGCAGAAGAACTTTTCTTTTGGCTTTCGTCTGTCCCAGGAGCTCTGTTACAGGCCAGTCCAACCCCCTAAATCAGCCTCGCCCCTCCCACTTGGCCAGGACATGAATATGCTAATGAGCTGCTTGCTGATTGGTTGGTTTAAACCAGAAGGCCTGCTGATTGGAGGAGGAAGGGCTCCGCATTGTGACATTTTCATGAGAGGTTTTTCAGAGTAAAAGTTTTTCTCTGGTAGTTTTAAACATTTTAATTTACATAAAAAGTAGGTCACGCACAGCTTAGACTTTTTGGCATGCTACTTTTGACCACCCAGGCTGTCTGCATTCACAAACAAGAAAATGTTGGTTTAGATTCCCTTTTAAATGTCTTTACTTCTAACCTGTTGATCAAATACATTGCCCCCATCAGTACCTTCTGACTGTTTATTCTTGGGCAGGAGAAGATAAATGATTATTTCTCATCTTCGTGTAAACAGAGGTTTTTGAGCTAAGAGGACTTCCAGCTGGAGGACTTCAGCTGATGCTACATCACAGCCAGCGTTCTCCTGGTCTGGACTGAGCTGAAATAACAACCGTTCCTAGAGAACGTGTCTACCTTCTGAGCAGAACCCTGATCCAAACTGAGACGCGCCGAACAAATCTCCTCCGTCTGTTTTCTGTCATCGGGACAAATTCCCGCATGTCTGTCGGCCGACGGCGTGCTGATAGAGAGGAGATGATTATTGATCCCTGAGGGCCAAACTGGGTCGCTGCAGCAGAGCAGGAAATAAATAAATAAGTAAAAATATTAATAAATACAGACAACAGCAGCGGTTCAGGCAGATCCAGAACTTAAAGTCAGCCTGTGCCTGCTCTGGTCAATGGGTCGGGTGTGTGTGTGTGTGTGTGTGTGTAAATGTTTAGTTTGGGTTAAGTCGGTCAAAAATCAGCAAAGTTAAAACGTTCTCTCGTGCATGTGGATGATTTATTTATTAGACTCGTACCAAAGAGCT